TATATATATATATATATATATACAGCTATATAGGGCTACATATAAAATCTACATATAATATTAAAGCTGAGGCTCCTAGATCTGAATGACATTCGGGATCTGAATTTCTGAATTGCATTTGGGAGCTCCTAAATGCCATTTGGGTCCGGGAGCTTCAGCTTTAGTAATATATGTATATGGCTCCCGGACCCGAACACAATTTGGAAATTCGGATCCTGAATGCATGCTCACCGCCATTTTGGAGTAGATCTAGGTATACACCAAGATGCACCACCTGCATGCTCGAGCGCCCCCGTCTTGGTGTGTACCCAAACCTACTCCAAAATGGCGGTGCGCACATGCAGAACACGCCAGCGGCTGACACGGCCGCCGCGCGTTCAGAGTGTGACGTCACCGTTTTGTGATGTCACACGCTCCGCCTCCAAGAAGGCGGTGGGCATGCACAGAACACGCCGGCAGCCAATATGGCTGCCAGCATGTTCTGAAAACGAATTTATGTATGCCCGAATACCGTTTTTGTATATTCAGGCATATATTAAATTCATTATTTCAAATTTGGACAAACCGCCAAATCAACTGAATTTTGTAGATTTGCAGGTTCATCCGAATGCACATGTCTAGTTTGTACACTTATCCAAAACTAACGAAAACTTCAGATTTCGTCCGAATCTGAAACCCCGAACCGAATTGAATTTCGGACTCGAATCCCGAATAACGAAATTTCTGAACCGAACCAGATTTTTCCACAGCTTGCATGTCAAATACCAGACATGATCTTCCATATGAAAGCCTGTTTGTCTACGACACATACAACCTTCTCAGATAGATCACAGAGAAAAAAAAGAGTATTTGTCATCTATTGGCATTCAGGTCGCCATGTGACACTCACAGATGAGCAGCTTAAAGAATTAATTACAGCCAACCAATTTTTGGTTGAAGTGGTTGGTTGAATTTTTTTGGTTGAACCAATTTCTGGTGAAGTACAGCAATGCCAGATTGGATTATAAATGGCTATGACTAAGGCCACCTTAGGCTGAAATGCGTCAGCTTTTGCCCAGTGTATGCTTGAGGAATAAATGTTTTTTGGAGTGCCCACAGTGTTTCCTATAATGCCAAATTGCAATACGGAGTGGTCTGTATTCCGCACCTGCATCTTAAAAGTTTAATTGCGAGTGGAATGTGGTATTCCCATAAATTGGATGAGTCTAGTATTTCATGTGTTCAGCAGACATGCACCTATAGAATTCTTTGTGTTCCTTTATCATAAGTAGGGGAAAGGTGACAAGTTTGCCTCTGTTCCTCGTCTCAGAGAGGGAGTTCTCGAACTCCTCTGCGTCTGAGCCATTTCAGAAGTGCTGAATATTCTTCGGCGCTCGCAGCAAAATTGACTTTGAAGTGAAGGTTTCATTAGGAGCTGAAATACTTCAGAGAGGTTCGTACTTTTCCAAGTGATCACTTTCGGGTTCCAAACTAAGAAATACAGGTAGCTCTGGAAGCGGATGATTAAATCTCCAAGGCCGGTGTAGGCAATCTGTGATGATCTAATTGACTTGGAACTGTAAGTCCCAGCACGTTCTTCAAGGCGCAATCACCTGTCATATTAATTGACTTTTTTTTTATTTTTTATTCATCATAAAAAACAAACATTTACATCACAAAGCACTTCTGACAACTGCCTCAGGGGAAGGTCAAGAGACAACCATCACCTGATTCAAGTCATAATAAGGTAGGTTGGAGAATTCCAATCCAAGTTGAAGGGTCAGGGTCTGATACGATAACCTCCAGGATAACTTATTCTAGCTGTCCTATTTTTCCATATGATGCTTTACAAATCATGCGTGCTCTGCCTTACTAAAACACGTGTAGAGCTTGACCTACAGGCTAAACAAATGTTGTCTGAATACAAGAGACATGTGTATTCTTTAGGGCTGGTAATGATTAACATTTTCCTGTTCGATTAATCAAATTTTTTTAATCGATTAATCGACTAATTTCGATTAATTATAACGCACATACAGAGGGGGGTCTCACCAGAGCTTTGAGGGGGCCTCACCAGGGTAGCAGGGAGCTGTGGGGTTTAACCAGCCTTGTTAGAACAACAAGAGGGCGCAAAACTAGGTCAGCTGACTGCCTGGACCGAACATATCAGGGAAGGTGACCGGAACAATTAATATATATGTATAATGTACTTACTTATGTGGGTCTGTGAACCAGATGTGAACCGGCCTGTGAGGAGGATCAGGATGTCCAGAATGTATGTTGAATGGCGGCAGCCTCAGGCAATATATCAGCCGCCATTCAACATACATTCGGGACATCCTGAATAGTAGATACCTACTATTTAGGTATCTAAAAAGCACAGTAGCTTTACAAGGCTTATTTTACTGCAGCCTACCAACACTTAACAGCACCACTAGGGTCTCACTGCTGTTCTAACATTTGAAAGATTTGAACTTGTGTGTGTTTCTTAGGGCTAGTGTCACTCTCACACACTTTAATATATGTTTATTTTGTACAGGGTATTAAAGTTGTCCTTGCTGAGAGCTGTGAGCGCATTCACCGCAGTAACCTAGTTGGAATGGGCATAATCCCTCTCCAGTATTTGCCAGGAGAAAATGCAGAGGCCCTCGGACTTACTGGTAAAGAGCGTTACACCATTAAGTAACCAGGAGACTCACCGGCCCAAGTGATTCCGTTCAGGTAACAAAGGGAAGGGGGAGGAGTCCTGTGACGTCACGGACATCGCCGTCAACGGACTCCTCCCTCCTTCCCTTTGTTACCCATCACGGACAACTACATCACCCGACTCCTCCCCCCTTCCCTTCGTTAGCCGACAGAGCCACTCGGGGAGGGGGGGAGGAGTCCGGTGACGTCGATGTCCGTGACGTCACCGGATCTCCGACGGAAGCTGGCGGAGAGGTGAGTGCTTTGATCGATCAAAATAATTTTGATCGATCAAAGAAATTAACGATTAATCGTTAATTTCCGCACAACTAGTATTCTTGCTTGAATCTTGCTGTCATTTGTGCATTTCTTCTAGATCTGTGCAGCAGTTCAGCAATAACCAACTTCTGTACTTTGCCTCTGTGCATGAGGTTCCTGTAATAAAGACCAGTCCCTGCTGCTCTCTCCTTTTGCAGGGTGACTGGTCTCATCTCCTTTTCGCCTGTAGTGGGTGGAGCCTGCTGTACCCCTCCCACAGCTCTGTTCCCTGCCCAGGCTATGTGTAGCAAAGTGATGATGCCACTACTGTTCAGTCACAGGCTAGGACAGGGGTAAGCAACCTCAGCACTCCAGCTGTTATGGAACTACAAGACCCACAAGGCATTGCAAAACTCTGACAACCACAGGCATGACTCCCAGAGGTAGAAGCATGATAGCATTTGTAGTTTTAGCACAGTTGGAGTGCCGAGGATCCCTCCCCCTGGTCGAGGTGCAAGTGAGTTGAATGGGCTGGCAAACACTCAACCTAGTTGTGGAAAAGTAGTAGTGCAGAAGTCAGCTCTGGATTAAAATGAGGTAGTGCAGCAAGTTTTATTTTTTTTAATTTTACCTTTTAATAGACTGTCCATTTTTTTTATTATCTTTGACTGGAGTCCTGGTAATCTTTGACAGAAGAATTATACAGGCAAGAAAGACCATTTCTATTAAATGTTTGTGAAGGTTCTCATTCATCCAGGTCATGGGGTATCTGTAAAAAATATATCAAAGCAACTGGACTTGCTGTATTTTTTCTTGAAGACTTTTCATTGGTCATCTGACTAGCTTTCCAAATCTGAATTAAGAAAGCTAGTCTGATGACCAGCGAAACATCTTAAAGAAAAAAACAGTTTGCTTTGATTTATTTGTTTACACAATTTCTATTAAAAAAAAAACACTCAATAAAGAAGTGAAAACACTTTTGGCAGCATTTTTTATTTGGAAACAATCCTGAAAATAAATATAACAATTTAGTATTGTGCAAGGAGGAGAAAGTAAGCAAACATCCCGGGAACACCATGAAACCTGCAGTAGCAAAGGATAAAACAATTCTTACATTATCTACAGAATATCATTCAGATCATGTGATCAAATCACGAGTTTCACGTTACCCTCCAACATCCTCATATACGTCTCAACAGTGCTGCCGTACATACACGTGTAGCAGTTCTTCCCTTTCCGGAGTGAACTGCGTCACACAGCTGTATATATAAAAATTTCAGATAAACCTCTGTCTATAGCTCAGGCGATAAGACTTCTCCCCAGACGTTGCTGAACAACATCTACCAGCATGCCGTGATAGCTGCTTACAAATAGCAGCTGGATATACGCATTACAGCCAGTGGTATCTATATACACTATACATTTATAGATCATAAACTAGATTTGATAATAAACGCACTGAAAATCAAGATTGGCTCACTCTTAAATATTGTTGGAGGGCGGGCGCAGACTGGTATAGGGGATGCGTTTCTTGACCCACGCTCAGAGAACGGTCACTACAAGGTATGTGGAAGGAACCACAAAGATTATTCATCTATGGTAACCATGTGTATGGAAAGGGAACCCCTTAAAGGGACTCCGTCAGAAGAAGGTGCAGACTCTGGGGGCTTCCATCTTTATTATTCCTTGACGAGTCACTGACCCGAATGAAAATGCATATTGGGTATTGTGACAGCTAACGTGCAGCAATTCACCTAGTGGTGCAGAAAGGATAAGTCGGCACTGGCAGCTCCCAAATTGCTACCCTGGCAGATCCCTTTTAAAGAGCAATTTTTTTTAATCCATCCTTTGCATTATTGGCCAAGGTATCAAGTTCTGGCCCCGCCTATATTTTTGCAGTTTAATATTTTGCTTGTTAACGCAAGTAATCCATGCTCAATGTGTGGAGAACAAAATGGCTGCTGTCATACTATTCCAAACTAACCAAGGCCTCCCCAATGTGTGGAGAACAAAATGGCTGCCGTCATCCTATTCTAAACTAACCAAGGCCTCCCCAATGTGTGGAGAACAAAATGGCTGCCGTCATCCTATTCCAAACTAACCAAGGCCTCCCCAATGTGTGGCGAACAAAATGGCTGCCGTCATCCTATTCCAAACTAACCAAGGCCTCTCCGATGTAACTGGATAAAAACAACATTGGAAGTACTTACACTGCACCTTACCCGTGTAAGGTTTTTACATATTCTTACCAAGCAGTAAAAGCTTTAAAACATTCCTTCCCTGACTTCTCTAGCTGAATGTAACGTAGAGCAATTCATTCTTAAATTCACAGCAGAGACTTTAAAGACAACCTGGGTCAGTTTCTAACAGGTTACAGCACATGCTGTGTGTTTACATTAGAGGGCTGGAAGACTCCCAATATTTCTCCACGACGCCTATCTCTACACTGGTGAATGGGGGGCTGGTTTTAAGTGCTTGTTGAGAATACATGTATCATTTATTGTGCATGCTCTAGGCACAGGTTCACTTTAGGCATACGAGTCAATGAAAAGATATTGGAGCTCAGTCACACAAGCTTGCATGCTAGGACGGGTGTAGGGCAGATGCATAGTTACAACACCGGAGCTGAATTGTGCTGTGGTGACATGGGGTGAGGAGCATTGTGTATAGAAAAGATTGCATGTCTGCATTTTTACACAACACGCTGCAAACCTGCCCCAACAGGACATATAGAGAGTAATTGTTTTCTATGTGCCCCGGCAGTGAGCCTGCATTGGTCGATGCAGCTCAACTGAGGTGGTGCGAACGAGCCCTTAGACATTTGACATATATATGTATTATATGATTTAATAAATTGTGTTTGCATGAGGGAAAATGTACACTTTGGAGGTTCAAATTTCAACAAGATGCCATTTTTTCCACCATCATACAGGGCACCACCTTTCTTCTATTCTTCATATTTAACTAGAGGGTTATAGACTTCCCTGTTGAGTATAAAATCCACACACGCGCCATGATCATGTAGGTGGAGAATCAGACATACCCTTCAGCAGTAGGCCGCGCTGTAGGGATAGTCTAGAAATGCAGATGTGATCCCATTGACGCCCGGCATTGTGGGTCAATCTCTAAAGATATGAAACACTTTAAATGGATGAGCTCTGATGACATTGTATTGAGCTAATGTATCTCAAAAATGATTTCCATCCTCTGCAAAAGTGGCCATATGCTGAACGCAGCTGCTATCTGTTGCAATCAGGAAACGCATGCTGAATCCCAGTCTACGCTCGCCCCTTCCTCAGAGCTCAGCAGGCTCTTGGCATCTCTGCTGCTTGAACTGAGGTCCTCCTAAGTAAATTACTTTATACAAGACGACGATGAAAATGATAATGGTATAAAAAAGAAGGGATATCATCTATACAAAAGGCCAGTATCAGTAAAAGTTCTGGGACAATAAACTGACATGTATAAATCAACCTACATTCTCATTTAGTTCTATTATACACTTTCCACACTAAGCAAGCTGAAGATCTCTTGGGGGGGACTTGAATTTCGCAGCCATTTTGGGCTCTGAACGTTCAGCCTTACCACTTGCAGGAAAGTCTCCCCACTATAGCGGTGGTGGAACATTCAGCCTTACCACTTGCAGGAAACAGTCTTCCCACTATAGCGGTGGTGGAACGCTCAGCCTTACCACTTGCAGGAATCAGTCTCCCCACTATAGCGGTGGTGGAACGTTCAGCCTTACCACTTGCAGGAATCAGTCTCCCCACTATAGCGGAGGTGGAAGGTTCAGCCTTACCACTTGCAAGAAAGTCTCCCCACTTGCGGTGACTATTACATGGACAGGCTGCCGTCTAAAAATATAGGTCTACATTACAAAATGGCTGCCTTCTTGTCTGTTAGATGTCATTGGGTGAACCCAATCTATAAGTCACCAAATGGACACAAGATAAACATCTCTATTTTCAATATTCCGATATTAAAGCACATGTAGGTTACATTTAGGGAAGGTATCCATCATCAGGGGTGGGAGAATGAGAACATCACTGAGGTACGTGTTCCAAAAATACTAGTTCATAAAAAACATGGCTGCCTTGCCTGTCTTAACCTCAGATGTCTCATTGTGCAATAGGCTATGTTATTAAGTTTTGGTGCAATGCTGGTCCCTCTCACAAAATTGGTTGCTTTACCGGACCTTTGGTCACCATTTTCTGGGAACTAGTCATACTGCATCATTCTTCACGGTACAATCACCTTAACACTCTATGCAGATCCTAAGGTGCAGTTATACGGGTCACAGTTTGTTCTACTTTTATGTACATTAGGCCTTAAATGGAACTTAAAGGCCTTTGCAGACAACTCAGCAACCAATCAGGTTTACACATTCATCTCCAATGTAGGTCTGAAGCTGATTGGTTGTGATTAGCTGTCTGGAAATAGCACTTCCCTCACAGTTTTCTAATGGCTTGTGTACATGGGCTTTGCTGTCAAAGGCTGGATTTTGCATTTGACTACAGTGGTGCTTTGCAAAAGTATCTCAATAGGACCTACTGGGATAAACGCAACACAAAGCAGGTCAAAAGCAGGCTCAAAACGGTCATCTGCAATGCACTAGGTAAATGGGAATCTGCTGACCTGCATTTATCAATGCTCATGTACCAAAGCCCTAAATAAAACCAACTGTAAGGAAAGTGGAAACATGAGTGCAAACATCTTATTGCGCTGGTATTAAGAGCCCAGCGCACAGCGGGTATATTATGTGACTTTATCATAACCTAATAATTCAGCATTTCTGTTCCAGCTTCTACATTAGGGAGTATAGAAGTACCAAGTAGGGAGACAGAGCTTACAAATACAAAATACATAACAAATTATATGCTTGTCACCATAAAAATACGAGATGGAGTCTGGATACAAATTGGGTATCATGTAGTATCAAAATTATCTTATAAGCGGAAGTGTTTCTTTGTTTTTGACTTGCGGCCAATATGTACATCAGTCCAAACATGCCAAATTCCAAATTTTATGAAGCTTGGTTCATAATATATTACAAGTAGATGGGTGGGGGGGGGAGTTGATGCCCTCTCTCATAGTAGTGACTCCTGAGAGTTCGTCTGACCTATCCAACAGTATCTTCCTGTCCCCCTGGCCAATACTAGACCTCAACATGAATATATTTAGGCTATGAACAACCAAGAAGAATTTTTCTTTTTTAGTGCACCCTTTGCAAAACACAATGGTAATACCGCCCAGTCAATCTCCAGTCATTGAAGTGTATAAAGTATAAAAAGGTGCTGATGGAATGGAAAAAAAAAACAACTAAAAAAATCTGATATTTTAAAAAGTTCTTCCAGGGTTTGCATCATCTTAAATATAGATTTCAACAATATCTTGGCCTTTGGCATAACGTGAAAAGGAGAAAAAAAAAGAAAACCACTTAGACACTCTTATCGCCCAATACAGGAAATCGTTTTGGAGCAGAATTTCGACGTGAAGAGCTTGCTCACTCTGAAAACGCCATAATTACGATCTCACAAACCGGTCAATTGACACTTTTGGATCAGACACTCAATGCAGCGTCTACGGGTGATTTCAGAAATTAGGCTGTGTGTGTGTCCGGATTTCCTACAAGGCCACCGAGGCCCAGCCTCAGGGCAGCAGGAAGTAGAGGGGCAGCAGAGGTGTGAAATTCCTATCTCCTGACGCCCAGGGAGTTTTGTTTTTCTCTACATTTAGCCCTGCTTTGGGCAAGCTGGGCTAAATGTAGAGTAGGGAAGCTGCTATTTGTTTTTGCAAGTGATCTCGGCGATCCTGCTGAGATCACTTGTATGCAATCTGGTTACCATTCTCCATGGGGGGAGGGGGGGGCGCATTGAGGTACCTGGTGTGTGTGTGTATGTGTTCCACAAATGTGCATGTACACATAAAGGAAAATAATGTATGGCATAGCCACCTATGTACATGGCTGCCTTTGCAGTAAGTTCAGAACAAGATGAGCAAAATACAGCTAGGCAGTATAGTGGTGTGATTGGAATTAGAGTTCGGTGAAGATCAGAGCACTTCCTACTGATTTTTAATGGGAGTCTGCTGAAGACCCACTTTTAAAAGGCATATAAGCAGTGGATCTACTACACATCTATTGTCACAGGTTCAAATGAATGACAAAAGGCAAGGACAGGGCATAGCTAGCATAAATAAGCAGGGCTTAGAGTGCCGCATACCATCGCACAGTACCTGCGCATAGAAATGGTTGTTAGTTCTTTCTTCTCTCATGTCACCACTCCCTAGCAATCCCTACATGGTATACGTGAAAACACTAGAAAAATGGAATGCACCTTTAAAAGGCTACATAGGTTCAGACTGCTTGGATACAGTTATCAGCAGAGGTCAGCCAATAGAAAAAAAAATAATAATAATTCCAGCTAATCTAGAAAAGAAGTGAAGGAAGTGAAAGGTGATGAAGTTGATTTTTATACAGGGATTTCACAGCTGCTGTCTTGGGATTGCTAGTAGAAATAATAATAGAGGATTATGACACAAGGACGAACAATGGAGCTTACAACAACTTCTATGTACAGGTACTGCAAGATGGGATAGCAAGAGAAATGGCATGGATGACTTTTTAAGAAGGGCTTGCCTCTATTCTCCCAAAACATTTTAAAATCTTCATAAGTGAAAAGAAAAAAAGACAGACGTTGCCCTCTCTCCTCCTTTGCCACCTTTCCCAGCAGTGCAGGTGCAAGTGTGGAGGATTGGAATATCTTAAAAAGTAACCCATGTATAATGCTTACCTGTCCCTTGCGGTGGGAGAGCAGCTACCATGCCAAAGCATTCTAATAAATCTGTATCGCTCTGCCAATCCCTCCACTACTTCCTGCTAAATGAACGGGCTGCATATACAAAGCAAACCATTAAAAGCTTGCATTGCATGATGGGAGCAGAGCTTTTCCATCTGGTTTAGACCAACTCAGCCATATGACATGCTGCAGAGAAGTGGCCCTACACAGGAACAAACACGCTTCCCCCATCTCTGCACCAGTAATCATAGTAATACATTTCTTGTCAGAGACGACTGGGGTTTAGCAGAGTTATTCTCTAACATGAACCTGTTCCAAAGCAAAGCGTCTGTATAATAAGCCTGAAATTGCTGTGCTGGGACTCTTAGGCCTCCTCTTGTTAGGGGGGCAGTAAAAGAAATCCATTCAGCTTCACCTCAAATAAACGTTGCTGCCCCAAAAATAGTATCCAACCTAAACCTACCAGAATGACAGCTCTCACAAGCAAATTTTGCTTTCAGATTTCCTTTTTTAGGACAAGGGTTTTTTTTTTTTCTTCTCCCACAATGTTTTGCGGGCAAACATAGACGAGAAGTTAGCATGTGATCAAAGACACAGAAACACGGGCATTAAAAGGTACCAACTTCCCCTTTAAACAAGAATAATTTCTCACTGTAACTGGGTGAATCAGACAGACAAAGGAGAATATACAGAAGGGATATTAATGATGAAAATAATTTACTGGTCGCCCCTTTAAGTCTTCTAGCTGCATAAAGTGCTACTTAAAAGCTCTGCTATTTTTAAATCTCTTTAAATCGAACCAGTTGGCAATTCTCTGCCCCGGTAATTTCTACACAACCTTTTGCAGCTGGAGCTACTCAATACAAGGCGGCACTAAATCAGCCTAATGGTCGCAGGAAGCTCCTGTAATTGCAAATAAAAACAAGTGGCATATGCGTCCATGAAGGGGAAAGAGCACGCTTGTATTGTTGGAATCTTGCAGCTGTTCATGGTCCGCTTTACGTGAAAAACACCCCTTTCCTATTGTGTCTACCGTTATTATGGAGTTATGACTTACGAGGCTTATGACTGACACAATGATAGCCTTAGAGAGGTCTATGAGGGATTCAGAGTCTCAGAGCAGAGGCTGCTGGTAGTAATTTGGGGGCTGCTGGGGGAGCGAGTGTAAAGGGGCAGCCACTGTGTAGGCGGATGCCGGAGGCAAAGCGGATGTAGTGTTTTGATAGGCTGCCATATCTGCAGACATTCCCATTGGGTGACTGTAGGTCGCTCCTCTGGGAGCCGTGTTCTGGTGTAGGTATTGCGGGTTTGAGCTTGCTTCTTGACCAGTGCTGAAAGAAGAAAAATTAGAGTTTTAGTAGCAGATTATTTAAAGCTGATTGCGCTCATTAAACGAAATACAAATAAAATAACACTTAAATCTGCAGGGTAATCAATTAATATATATTTTTAGTAGTAAACTACTCTTCTAGTTTACAAAAAAAATTTGCTGATCATCATCAGCGGGACAGAAAATGATGGGAAATCAAAAATTTTACAGTTGTCACTGGAACAGGAGGCTTGGGCAAACTCTCCAATGGAGACATACTCTATCCAGTGACAGCTGTCGAAGACGGCATTTTCTGTTGCTTTTTTTGCTCACTTCCTGTTGTGTCTCAAAGACAGAAATTGAAGGGAAATCTTCCCAAAAGGGAATGGAGAGCAAAAAAAAAAAAGAGAGACAACAGAGATGGGGGCTGCAAACACGGCAAACCCCATGTTCATATATACAAATACAACGTATAATTAAAAACAGATTTAAAACATTAACGCTAGGGATGAACAAAATTCAATTTGCCAAAAATCGGAAACTTGGAAAATAGTCGCCATTGTTTGTGGAGACGCACAAAGCTTACTAGCACACACAAGAAGCAGCATCCATTGTAAGTGATTTCATCAGAAATAGCTTAAAATCATTTTGAATTAAACTTCATTTTAGGTGATTTTGGTGGTTCACTGAAGAGTGCAATGGGCTTTAAATGGCTCCTAGTAGTTATAGAAACTCCTTTCATTTTTTTACTTTTAGGGTTATCATTTCTCTCTAGGTGCACACTCAGCAAATACAATAGCAGCTTTTACTGACAATGTTTGGTTTGTCAACAAAGCCATGTGATCACCATGTCAGTGCTGAGCATTGGAGTTAACATTGGGGTAGGCTATGTTCATCAACAAAACCATTGGCGGTCAGTGCTGACATGATGATTAGATGGCTTGGTTTCAAGCAATTTTAGCCTGTGCACTCCGCATGGCGAATTTGAGGATAATTTAGGTACATTTCAGTAGAGGTAAATTTGGTCATTACCGTGCCAATTCAATCTAGGCAACATCACGCTTATTACACACACATTCTTACTGAGCAGATATGCAGCAGAAGCAAACTTTCAGTTCTCAAAGTGCAAATGAAGCTTTCATGCTCTGATCCTGAAAATGCTGTATGATCAATTAGCATGTTGGCTGCACACATACGCACGCACACAATTACTGCACAAGAATACATGAATAAGAATAAAGGAGATGTGTTAATTAGTTATAATTACTGTCTGTGAAGGTTCTCATTCATCCAGGTCATGGTATAGCTGTAAAAAATAAGTCAAGGCAACTGGACTTGCTGTATTTTTCTTGAAGACGTTTCACTGGTCAGGATTCAGCAGTTCCCACTATAGCGGTGGTGGAACGCTCAGCCTTACCACTTGCAGGAATCAGTCTCCCCACTATAGCGGTGGTGGAACGTTCAGCCTTACCACTTGCAGGAATCAGTCTCCCCACTATAGCGGTGGTGGAACGTTCAGCCTTACCACTTGCAGGAATCAGTCTCCCCACTATAGCAGAGGTGGAAGGTTCAGCCTTACCACTTGCAGGAATCAGTCTCCCCACTATAGCGGAGGTGGAAGGTTCAGCCTTACCACTTGCAAGAAAGTCTCCCCACTTGCGGTGACTATTACATGGACAGGCTGCCGTCTAAAAATATAGGTCTACATTACAAAATGGCTGCCTTCTTGTCTGTTAGATGTCATTGGGTGAACCCAATCTATAAGTCACCAAATGGACACAAGATAAACATCTCTATTTTCAATATTCCGATATTAAAGCACATGTAGGTTACATTTAGGGAAGGTATCCATCATCAGGGGTGGGAGAATGAGAACATCACTGAGGTACGTGTTCCAAAAATACTAGTTCATAAAAAACATGGCTGCCTTGCCTGTCTTAACCTCAGATGTCTCATTGTGCAATAGGCTATGTTATTAAGTTTTGGTGCAATGCTGGTCCCTCTCACAAAATTGGTTGCTTTACCTGACCTTTGGTCACCATTTTCTGGGAACTAGTCATACTGCATCATTCTTCACGGTACAATCACCTTAACACTCTATGCAGATCCTAAGGTGCAGTTATACGGGTCACAGTTTGTTCTACTTTTATGTACATTAGGCCTTAAATGGAACTTAAAGGCCTTTGCAGACAACTCAGCAACCAATCAGGTTTACACATTCATCTCCAATGTAGGTCTGAAGCTGATTGGTTGTGATTAGCTGTCTGGAAATAGCACTTCCCTCACAGTTTTCTAATGGCTTGTGTACATGGGCTTTGCTGTCAAAGGCTGGATTTTGCATTTGACTACAGTGGTGCTTTGCAAAAGTATCTCAATAGGACCTACTGGGATAAACGCAACACAAAGCAGGTCAAAAGCAGGCTCAAAACGGTCATCTGCAATGCACTAGGTAAATGGGAATCTGCTGACCTGCATTTATCAATGCTCATGTACCAAAGCCCTAAATAAAACCAACTGTAAGGAAAGTGGAAACATGAGTGCAAACATCTTATTGCGCTGGTATTAAGAGCCCAGCGCACAGCGGGTATATTATGTGACTTTATCATAACCTAATAATTCAGCATTTCTGTTCCAGCTTCTACATTAGGGAGTATAGAAGTACCAAGTAGGGAGACAGAGCTTACAAATACAAAATACATAACAAATTATATGCTTGTCACCATAAAAATACGAGATGGAGTCTGGATACAAATTGGGTATCATGTAGTATCAAAATTATCTTATAAGCGGAAGTGTTTCTTTGTTTTTGACTTGCGGCCAATATGTACATCAGTCCAAACATGCCAAATTCCAAATTTTATGAAGCTTGGTTCATAATATATTACAAGTAGATGGGTGGGGGGGGGAGTTGATGCCCTCTCTCATAGTAGTGACTCCTGAGAGTTCGTCTGACCTATCCAACAGTATCTTCCTGTCCCCCTGGCCAATACTAGACCTCAACATGAATATATTTAGGCTATGAACAACCAAGAAGAATTTTTCTTTTTTAGTGCACCCTTTGCAAAACACAATGGTAATACCGCCCAGTCAATCTCCAGTCATTGAAGTGTATAAAGTATAAAAAGGTGCTGATGGAATGGAAAAAAAAAACAACTAAAAAAATCTGATATTTTAAAAAGTTCTTCCAGGGTTTGCATCATCTTAAATATAGATTTCAACAATATCTTGGCCTTTGGCATAACGTGAAAAGGAGAAAAAAAAAGAAAACCACTTAGACACTCTTATCGCCCAATACAGGAAATCGTTTTGGAGCAGAATTTCGACGTGAAGAGCTTGCTCACTCTGAAAACGCCATAATTACGATCTCACAAACCGGTCAATTGACACTTTTGGATCAGACACTCAATGCAGCGTCTACGGGTGATTTCAGAAATTAGGCTGTGTGTGTGTCCGGATTTCCTACAAGGCCACCGAGGCCCAGCCTCAGGGCAGCAGGAAGTAGAGGGGCAGCAGAGGTGTGAAATTCCTATCTCCTGACGCCCAGGGAGTTTTGTTTTTCTCTACATTTAGCCCTGCTTTGGGCAAGCTGGGCTAAATGTAGAGTAGGGAAGCTGCTATTTGTTTTTGCAAGTGATCTCGGCGATCCTGCTGAGATCACTTGTATGCAATCTGGTTACCATTCTCCATGGGGGGAGGGGGGGGCGCATTGAGGTACCTGGTGTGTGTGTGTATGTGTTCCACAAATGTGCATGTACACATAAAGGAAAATAATGTATGGCATAGCCACCTATGTACATGGCTGCCTTTGCAGTAAGTTCAGAACAAGATGAGCAAAATACAGCTAGGCAGTATAGTGGTGTGATTGGAATTAGAGTTCGGTGAAGATCAGAGCACTTCCTACTGATTTTTAATGGGAGTCTGCTGAAGACCCACTTTTAAAAGGCATATAAGCAGTGGATCTACTACACATCTATTGTCACAGGTTCAAATGAATGACAAAAGGCAAGGACAGGGCATAGCTAGCATAAATAAGCAGGGCTTAGAGTGCCGCATACCATCGCACAGTACCTGCGCATAGAAATGGTTGTTAGTTCTTTCTTCTCTCATGTCACCACTCCCTAGCAATCCCTACATGGTATACGTGAAAACACTAGAAAAATGGAATGCACCTTTAAAAGGCTACATAGGTTCAGACTGCTTGGATACAGTTATCAGCAGAGGTCAGCCAATAGAAAAAAAAATAATAATAATTCCAGCTAATCTAGAAAAGAAGTGAAGGAAGTGAAAGGTGATGAAGTTGATTTTTATACAGGGATTTCACAGCTGCTGTCTTGGGATTGCTAGTAGAAATAATAATAGAGGATTATGACACAAGGACGAACAATGGAGCTTACAACAACTTCTATGTACAGGTACTGCAAGATGGGATAGCAAGAGAAATGGCATGGATGACTTTTTAAGAAGGGCTTGCCTCTATTCTCCCAAAACATTTTAAAATCTTCATAAGTGAAAAGAAAAAAAGACAGACGTTGCCCTCTCTCCTCCTTTGCCACCTTTCCCAGCAGTGCAGGTGCAAGTGTGGAGGATTGGAATATCTTAAAAAGTAACCCATGTATAATGCTTACCTGTCCCTTGCGGTGGGAGAGCAGCTACCATGCCAAAGCATTCTAATAAATCTGTATCGCTCTGCCAATCCCTCCACTACTTCCTGCTAAATGAACGGGCTGCATATACAAAGCAAACCATTAAAAGCTTGCATTGCATGATGGGAGCAGAGCTTTTCCATCTGGTTTAGACCAACTCAGCCATATGACATGCTGCAGAGAAGTGGCCCTACACAGGAACAAACACGCTTCCCCCATCTCTGCACCAGTAATCATAGTAATACATTTCTTGTCAGAGACGACTGGGGTTTAGCAGAGTTATTCTCTAACATGAACCTGTTCCAAAGCAAAGCGTCTGTATAATAAGCCTGAAATTGCTGTGCTGGGACTCTTAGGCCTCCTCTTGTTAGGGGGGCAGTAAAAGAAATCCATTCAGCTTCACCTCAAATAAACGTTGCTGCCCCAAAAATAGTATCCAACCTAAACCTACCAGAATGACAGCTCTCACAAGCAAATTTTGCTTTCAGATTTCCTTTTTTAGGACAAGGGTTTTTTTTTTTTCTTCTCCCACAATGTTTTGCGGGCAAACATAGACGAGAAGTTAGCATGTGATCAAAGACACAGAAACACGGGCATTAAAAGGTACCAACTTCCCCTTTAAACAAGAATAATTTCTCACTGTAACTGGGTGAATCAGACAGACAAAGGAGAATATACAGAAGGGATATTAATGATGAAAATAATTTACTGGTCGCCCCTTTAAGTCTTCTAGCTGCATAAAGTGCTACTTAAAAGCTCTGCTATTTTTAAATCTCTTTAAATCGAACCAGTTGGCAATTCTCTGCCCCGGTAATTTCTACACAACCTTTTGCAGCTGGAGCTACTCAATACAAGGCGGCACTAAATCAGCCTAATGGTCGCAGGAAGCTCCTGTAATTGCAAATAAAAACAAGTGGCATATGCGTCCATGAAGGGGAAAGAGCACGCTTGTATTGTTGGAATCTTGCAGCTGTTCATGGTCCGCTTTACGTGAAAAACACCCCTTTCCTATTGTGTCTACCGTTATTATGGAGTTATGACTTACGAGGCTTATGACTGACACAATGATAGCCTTAGAGAGGTCTATGAGGGATTCAGAGTCTCAGAGCAGAGGCTGCTGGTAGTAATTTGGGGGCTGCTGGGGGAGCGAGTGTAAAGGGGCAGCCACTGTGTAGGCGGATGCCGGAGGCAAAGCGGATGTAGTGTTTTGATAGGCTGCCATATCTGCAGACATTCCCATTGGGTGACTGTAGGTCGCTCCTCTGGGAGCCGTGTTCTGGTGTAGGTATTGCGGGTTTGAGCTTGCTTCTTGACCAGTGCTGAAAGAAGAAAAATTAGAGTTTTAGTAGCAGATTATTTAAAGCTGATTGCGCTCATTAAACGAAATACAAATAAAATAACACTTAAATCTGCAGGGTAATCAATTAATATATATTTTTAGTAGTAAACTACTCTTCTAGTTTACAAAAAAAATTTGCTGATCATCATCAGCGGGACAGAAAATGATGGGAAATCAAAAATTTTACAGTTGTCACTGGAACAGGAGGCTTGGGCAAACTCTCCAATGGAGACATACTCTATCCAGTGACAGCTGTCGAAGACGGCATTTTCTGTTGCTTTTTTTGCTCACTTCCTGTTGTGTCTCAAAGACAGAAATTGAAGGGAAATCTTCCCAAAAGGGAATGGAGAGCAAAAAAAAAAAAGAGAGACAACAGAGATGGGGGCTGCAAACACGGCAAACCCCATGTTCATATATACAAATACAACGTATAATTAAAAACAGATTTAAAACATTAACGCTAGGGATGAACAAAATTCAATTTGCCAAAAATCGGAAACTTGGAAAATAGTCGCCATTGTTTGTGGAGACGCACAAAGCTTACTAGCACACACAAGAAGCAGCATCCATTGTAAGTGATTTCATCAGAAATAGCTTAAAATCATTTTGAATTAAACTTCATTTTAGGTGATTTTGGTGGTTCACTGAAGAGTGCAATGGGCTTTAAATGGCTCCTAGTAGTTATAGAAACTCCTTTCATTTTTTTACTTTTAGGGTTATCATTTCTCTCTAGGTGCACACTCAGCAAATACAATAGCAGCTTTTACTGACAATGTTTGGTTTGTCAACAAAGCCATGTGATCACCATGTCAGTGCTGAGCATTGGAGTTAACATTGGGGTAGGCTATGTTCATCAACAAAACCATTGGCGGTCAGTGCTGACATGATGATTAGATGGCTTGGTTTCAAGCAATTTTAGCCTGTGCACTCCGCATGGCGAATTTGAGGATAATTTAGGTACATTTCAGTAGAGGTAAATTTGGTCATTACCGTGCCAATTCAATCTAGGCAACATCACGCTTATTACACACACATTCTTACTGAGCAGATATGCAGCAGAAGCAAACTTTCAGTTCTCAAAGTGCAAATGAAGCTTTCATGCTCTGATCCTGAAAATGCTGTATGATCAATTAGCATGTTGGCTGCACACATACGCACGCACACAATTACTGCACAAGAATACATGAATAAGAATAAAGGAGATGTGTTAATTAGTTATAATTACTGTCTGTGAAGGTTCTCATTCATCCAGGTCATGGTATAGCTGTAAAAAATAAGTCAAGGCAACTGGACTTGCTGTATTTTTCTTGAAGACGTTTCACTGGTCAGGATTCAGCAGTATACCTACATCTAAAAGTAAAAAGGTTGCTCCTTTGAAGACAGTCAAGTACGCATCCTAGACAGGGACCTTATTATTTATTGGTTTAAAAGAGGTGTGAAAGAGGCCATTTATGTAAAAATGGAGGAGCCAAGCTTGAATAGAGGTGGGGGGGGTGAGACATCTATTGTCTGCCACATACAATGCTGTTTAACACCTCTCTCTGGGATGGTTATTAACACCTCCTAGCTCCAATTATGCAAATGCAATCAACACCTGGTTGCGCCTAACGGATTATATGGATTGGAACAACATTCACCATATTTATTCCCAGATAATTTTTTGTACAAGTCATTCTGAATTGAGAAAGCTGGTTGGATGACCAGTGAAGTGTCTTCAAGAAAAATACAGCAAGTCCAGTTGTCTTCCCTTATTCTTTACAGATATGAGTTATAATTATTGTTTCTAGAAGTTCTTTATTCTAGATTCACACAAGCGGAGGGCAGGGTAATCCCCTCTGCTGAGTGCAGAGTTTTTGCCAGGCTGACTGGTAGGTAAAAATGGCCAGCTAGACACAAATCCTGCAATCTTGAGGAGTACAGTATGTAGGCTGCCCTATCCTTGTGTTACTACACAAGGGCCCTGGAAGATAACACTGCAAAAGGCCCCATACAGGGGGAAAAAAAAAACTTACCTCAAGTAGGGCGCTTGAGCTGCTTGAGTGGTGCCAGTGGAGTTGATATTCGGTGGTAGAGATCTAAGGGGTCCAACCTGGTCAGGATTCATGCCATAAGCTTGAGAGAGGTTTGGCTGGTGTACTTGGGGCATACCATGTACCATATAACCAGCTCCCTGAGCCTGACCAGCATAGCCCTAGACAAAGAAAATATTGTTAAAAATGAAAATATTCAGTTTAAGAGAGGAAGGGAGAGAGAAAGGGAGAAAAAGACAGGGTGAGTGTTGCCTAGCTTACTCAGCTTTGCCCCTGATATCTCATTGATATGAACTATATGATGGGTGACTATAGGAAACAAAATGACTGCATAAAAGAGAACTATGGTGTAAGTGTTTTTCCCCATAGTTCTCTTTAGGGTCACAGGAGGACATGAACTAGCGTCCTCCTTTGACCCAAAGCTCAGTATATCACAGGCTATTGCCCACGATATACTGTGAGCGCCGCAGCCCGGGTGTATCCCGACATTACTGTCGAGAGCCACCCAGCTGCGTGAGTGACAGCTGGCTCTGCCTATCTAGAGGCAGAGCCAGCTGTGCCCGCCCCTTCCCGTCTGTTCCTCCACTCAGCGCTGGAGGATCAGAGAAGGGGAGGGGGGGAATCCCTGCGGGCAGCGGTGACTGACAGTCACTGCTGTCTGCAGGGAGACGATCGAGAAGTGAGCAGATCGTGCATGTTTCTGCTCACGTGTGGCGTGTCCTGGACCACGCTGTCTGACAGCAGAGCCCGGATCACAAAACTGGCTGAGCGAAACTACAAAATCTGTTGGCAGGAAAAACATTTCACAAACATAGATGTAATCTGTGCCCACAGGACAGTATACAGCAGAGCACCATGTGACTATGATCTAACAGGAGGTGTTACTGGACTCTCCGACTACAGAACGTGAACAAAGCCTGCGAGTTAACAGCCAATCCTTCCAAAGACAGTGTCAGAGGTCAATATAAAAGCATTTATAAAGAAAGGAGATCAAAACGGATGCTTCCCGAGACATCCTTCTGCCAGGTATATAAAAGGATATAATCCAATTTACAGCTATCCTCAAGCTACATCATGGGCGCCGAGAAAAATTCAAGCTGACATTATTTAAGATGCTTCTGACTTACACGGGTCAACTATTCTAAGACATGCAGAAACATTGTAGGGGAAAGAAGACTTAGAAGATTTTGTGCAAAAAAAAATATATATACATTTTTATTTATTTTTTACGCCATACAAATAAGAAAAGGTAGAACTGGGATTGATGCTGAAATCAATGTGCAGCTGTAAAAAGACTTCAAGTACAGAAATTTGCTTTGTTTCTTTCATGTTTGAAAGCAAAACCTTGACAAGGGAGCTGTATGGGCTGCAAAAAAATTTTTAGACCGGGACCCCAGGGGCCCTGAAAGTTAGCAATTGGAGCTCTTAGTACCAAGCAAGACAGCAAATGTCAAGACTAGGAAGAGGTTTAAGGGTATGTGCACCAGACTGCAGAGACATTGGAGAAGGGAGCACATCATCCTTGGGGCTAATGTCAGCAACTGCCGTGCGCCATCTTTGGGGCCTGGTGTCCACAGCTGAAGTGCAAAGTCTTTGGGGCCTGGCTTCTGCCACACACCTTTGGTGCCTTCTGTCTGCAGTCACCATGCACTGACTGTAGGGCCTTGTGTCTGCAGCCCTGCACCATAATTGGGGCTCGGTGCCTGCAGCCATGCACCATATTTGGGGCTTGGTGCCTGCAGCTCTGCACCATATTTGGGGCTTGGTGCCTGCAGCTCTGCACCATATTTGGGGCTTGGTGCCTGCAGCCTTGCACCATATTTGGGGTTCGGTATCTGCAGCCTTGCACCATATTTGGGGCCTGGTCCCCACAGCCCTGCACCATTTTTTCGGCCTGGTGTTGAGACACAGCCCTACACCGTCTTTGGGGCCTGGTATCTGCAGCCCTGGATTGTCTTTGGTGTCTAGCGTCAGCACCCCTGCACAGATTTTGGATTCCGGGGTCCAAAGCCCTGCACCACATTTTAGCCTTGAGCGATTTTCCTTCGGCCTGATGGTCATAGCGCTGCTCTATGAACCCAACCATACAGTATGCTAAATAAAACCGAATTTCAGACCCCCACAAAAAAAAAAAAAGAAGAAGATGGGTCCCAGACATTCTTCCTTTTAAGGGTATAAAAATATAAGCAATATAACCAATAAAGTTATTCAAAAATGGCAACGCAACACAAGATGGACACTTCAGTTCTGTATGGTTACTGGCAAGCTAAATCATGGGCCATGTTATAGGTCTTGAAGACCATCCCATGGAGAGGTATCCCCTGCCTAATTCCTGAAGTCAACACTCTGATGATTAGAAAATACAGATAGTTGAAAGCCGTGCTATTGGAGGACGCCCTCAGTGTGGCATTGTGGGGGAGGTTATGACAGAATACTGTAGGAAATCAGAGTCAGAAGTAAAGTCAGATACAGAAAATTAGTATTTTCAAAAGGAGATCTGCGATGACAGCTGAAGTAACCTTCTCATGCAAGGTTTACTTTGAACCCAGAAGTCAGTACCTGTAGAGAAACGCCCATTGCTGGTGGATTATAATGTGCCTGTGGAGGGGGCTTGTTGTAGATATTGTACAATGGGGTATCATTCACTAATTTGTTGTACAGTTCCAGTGCCTCCAGGACCTTCACATTAAGTTCAGAAAGTTCAGAGTGCTTCCTGGAGAGAACACAGGGGGAATAGATATAATATAAGACCAAAGAAAACTCACATTTTATAACCAAACAGAGCAGATATTTAAAATACAATGACTCCTTTAAAAGGGGAATTATGAGGCGAGAGATTTTCACTCAGCCTCATAATCTGAGCCGACCTGTGACAATGAAACTGTCACAGGTCGGCTCAGTAGATCGGGAAGTGAGCGAACACATACCGGCGCTCGCTCACTTCTCGATCTATCCCTGCAGAGAGCCGTAACGGTCACTCACGGCTCCATGCAGGGATTCCCCCCCTCCCCAGCGCTGACTGGCGAAATGGACGGGGAGGGGGCGGGCACAGCTGGCTCTGCCTCTGGATAGGCAGAGCCAGATGTCAATCCTGCAGCTGGGTGGATCCAGACAGTATTGTAGGGATCCGTCCCGGCTGCGGCATCTCATTATACCGCGAGATGTAGCTTGCTATATACTGAGCTTTGGGTCACGGGAGAACGCTGGTTTGTGTTCTCCTGTGACCCTTAGGAGAACTATGGGGAAAAGCCCTGACCCCATAGTTTTCCTTTAATGAATGCCGGCAAATCATGCATGTTTGCAAAAATAACCCATTTTACCAGTTTTCCTGTCTCTTTACATCCTTTAAGATCTATCACCAAGGGTCCACCCAGGTCCTGGATTTGGTATACATTTGAATATACCAAAGAAGGCATATCTGTACCCATAGTTTCTGATGCTTGCTCACTAGGGATGCACCGATACCAAGTACCGTATTCGGTACAAGTACAGATACTTTTCGAGCTCCAAAACTAGACTAGAGAAAAATACAGAAGTTAGGAGGCGGCTGTCATTTGTACGGAGCACACAGAGCTCCTGGGATTTGTACATCTCTGTTTTAATGTATGATTTTGTTTTTATAAATACATATAAGTGATGCACCGATGCCATTTTTTCAAGTACAAAGTACTGATACTTGTCCAAGTACTCACAGATACAAGTACTGACACATTTTTGTTTGTCATGTGACAGTTTTTCTAAAACAATACAGACTAATAATTTCAGGACAGTGGTGGAGTGCCAGAGCCAGGTCCCAGCTGCAACCCTGGTAGTTATCGTGAAATTGCCAAGTATCGGCACTGGAATCTGAACCAATTGACTGGCAGGAATTAGCAGGGATCAGCTGTGTCGGAGCATAAAATTGGGCCAATAGTCTTGGCAGGTCTTATATTTCACAAACAAATTTTTATGTAAAACAAGCACTAAGAGCATCATAAACCTTTCTCATGTTAATTTCCTCGTAATTCTGAGTTAGGTTCAAATGAATGGTTAGGCCCCAATGTGCATCTCCCAATCAGTTCTATAGAGTTTGTTTTTGCACCTGTGCCAGCAAAGATTTAACTGCAAACACTACGGAAAGCAGTGCCCAGCATCACTCCCTGAGGGAGCCTCCTCTCCCAACAGATTCCTCCATCTACGCTAAGCTGTGTGGACGGAGGAATCTCCCACTGGGCCAAGCTTCAGTATCTTGCTAGTCGGCCCCACTGGCTCTCAAAACACCTGAACAATCTGATTGGATGCAGGCACTGTTCTGGTGTTTTGAGAGCCAGCGGGGCCGACTAGCAAGGTTTCGGAAGCTTGGCGAAGGTGGAGATTCCTCCATCCACACAGTTAAGTGTAGATGGAGGAATCTGTTGCACCTTTTCCATTTGACCATAGAAAATCTGAAGATAATTATAAGGTGTATGACCCCAGCTTTACTTTTAAAGGTCAAGGTATTTACCTAGATGTGGATTCAATATTTTGCAATTAAAGTCTTTTTTATCAGTTAGTATCAAGCAATTGACAGCAGGCTGAATCACCCAAAGAATTCAGTTGTAAAATGTTGGCACCCGATTTCCAGCTCCATCCATCTACTACTTAAATTGACGCTAAACTCAGGAGTTAAATCTTAAAAATGCATTCAAGTAACTTAACTATTAACAGAAATGTATCTCATTTGTCTATCACTTGGCTGTAGATCCTCAAATCATCTCTGAATTGGTGCCAACACTGTCCTTCCTTCTGGAGGGGGGGCTACTTTTGTTCCCCATGGTCCCTGTGTGTGTTGTAAAGTAGTCACTGCTTCCAGCTCACTCCTGTAATGGACTACAATCTCACAATTTGTATTGAGATTGTAGTCCATCACAGGAGCGAGCTTGGAGTGGTGACTACTTTACAACACCCACAGGGATCGTGGGGAACAAAAGTAGCCACCCTCCAGAAGGAAGGACAGTGTCGGCACCAATTCAGAGATGATTTGAGGATCTACAGCCGAGTGATACACAAATAAGATATATTATAGTGTCGCTTTAAGTCTGACAAGGATTTCTTACTGCTTGATTGCCGGATAGATAAAATAGGTCAGTAGATTAACTAGAACATCAGTTTTTAGGGTAAACTTGACTTTTGAAGTCAAAAGGCCCACATGTTATCACCTGTATTTCTAAAACTGACCTGGAAAGGTTTCCTCACACAATCTCTTCTATTCACTGCATCAGATCTAATAGAGTTAAAGGACAACTATATCGACTGCGGAGGTCTCAGTATACCGCAAGCTGTAGCTCGTGAAATACTGAGCTTTCGGTCATGGGAGGATGTTAGTTTATGTCCTCCCGTGATCCTGAGGAGAACTATATGGAAAACACTTACCCCATAGTTCTCCTTTAACTAAGTCACTCATTGGAAGCACATTTAAAAGGGGAACTATGGCCAAACTTTTTTTTGCCATAGTTCTCTTCAGGGTCACAGGAGGACATATACTAATGTCCTCTGGTGACCAAAAGCTCGGTATATAGTGAGCTATTGCCCGCTATATGCTAAGTGTGCAGTCGCGCTGCAGCCGGGACTGATCCCAACAATATTGTTGAGATCCAACCCACTGGCTGATTGACAGCTGGCTCGGCCTCTCTAGAGTCAAAGCCAGCTGTCCCTGCCCTCAGTCAGTGTTGGAGGATCGGAGAGGGGACGCGGGGGAATCCTTGCAGGGATTGGTGACCGACAGTCACCACTCTCCGCAGGGAGAGGATCGGGAAGGTAGCCATCCGCAGTATGTGTTTGCTAAATTCCCAATCAATAGAGCCAGTTTCAGTGTCACAGGTCGGCTTGAATCATGGGGATGAGAATTTTTCACTCACCCCATAATTCTCCTTTAATGGTACTTTGTTAGAGATCAGAGTATTAACTGTATTGTCTACGTTCTCAGCAACAAACACTGCTGGACTAAAACTACCCCCGTCTTCTATGAAGGCAGGAAGCCATTAGGTGATCAAAAACGGCTTGATGACTTGAGTTTTAAAAGAATTGGCAACTTTAAAAGAATTGGCAACTTTACCTTTAACTATCAATACATTAAAGAGGAAATTGGCAACATCGAATAGAACGCCCCTTTAATTGCGTAACCCAAATCCACAGGACACTTTATGGGACGCAACGTTTGAAAGGAGCAAAAGGTAGTGTTTGCTAAATGCTTACCTGAAGCAGCCTTACATGAATTACATTAAGCGGATCACTTTACAGTGCTTATCCACTTTTGCAGTAAAACTGGAGGATGCCTTCTTTATATTTGTTACATGTTCCCATTTACATTGCGTAACTTAAAAAAAATTTAATAAATAATTGCTGCTTACATTAGTAGGTGCTTTTTACTTGCCTAAAAATCCTACATACCCCCCAACAGCCTATTTAATATCAAGGAGGGGGCTGCAGGAATGTTTACTACAATTGTATGGTATGGTAATGAGAGGAAGCTCAGTCTGTTCCTCAGTTTGTTCCTCTACTTTCACTCTGGTCAGAGTAGCCTGGAGTCTGAACAAAGGCCTCCACCAAAGAAACATGTAAAAGGTAAGAAATATATTATACATATTTTTAGCAATGCTGTGTAAATGAGAACACAAACATATACTTTAGTTTCCTTTGAAATGGAATCTGTAACACCTTTCTGATGGAGGCCGCACACTAATTCCAGGGCACACGCTCAGCACCACTTTGGTTGCCTTGGAACTAATATGCAGCTGGTAAGCGAGACAATGGCAGCTTCCAGCACGCTGCTATTTAGCTTAATCGTAGCTTCCCTTTTCAAAAGGAGTGAAAGTGGAAAGAGGACAACAGCTGTGTGATTTGCACTCTACTAGGCACTGAGTACTCAGATACTGTATGAGAACTGTGACAGGTTCACTTTAAAATTACTGGTGTGAGATGAACAAAATACTGAAAGTCTGAGGACAGGAGGATGGCAAATAATACTCTTCTGCAATAAAAAAACCCCCCAAAAAACAAGAAATACAGCAAAATTACAGTAAGGGTACTAATTAAAAATATGCAAAGGAAACAAACGCCCATCGATTGCTTCCCACCGCTACTAGAAAACGCAACATTAGTGTTAGATTTCACTGTCTGGGTGCGCTACAAACGAATGAAGCATTTAAAATAATTAATTCATTGAAGTGTCAGAAAACTTCCGGCCCAACTGCCGATCGCTTATATCTGTCACTAGTAGGGATGCGCCGATACCGTTTTTTCAGTATCGCGTACAAGTACCGATATTTATCTTGTGGCACTTGCCGATACCAGTTGCATGAAGCCAGCTTCCCGGGCAATCAGGAAACCGGACGGCGTATCATTACCTGTCACCTGGCTTCTTGATTGCCAAGGAAGGGGGCTTTCCAGCCAATCAGCATAGAGCTGGCTTCCCGGCCAGTCAGGAACTCGTATTTGCCTAATTCCTCCGATACCTTCCCCAATACTGGAACTTCGGGACAGAAGGAGATATTTCCACTGACCGGCAGGACCGCAAGGGAACATGAAGCCGGTTTCCTGGCCAATCAGGAAGCCGGGCGGCATGTAATGACTTGCTGCCAGGCTTCCTGATTGGCCGGGAAGCCACCTCCATGCTGTTTGGCCAGCTTCCAGGCCAATCAGCATGGAGCCAGCAAACAGCATGGAGCCCAGTCATTACTCTCCGCCTGGCTTCCTGATTGGCCGGGAAGCCAGCTCCATGTTCCCTCGAGGCACTGCCGGTCAGAGGAAATCTGCCTCTGACCGGAAGTTCCAGTATTGGGGAAGGTATCAGAGGATTTAGGCGAGTATGAGTATCGGTGCCTCCCTAAACATTAGAGATTATTAATATACAATAAAACAAATGTTGAAGCAAACAATGAATGCAGAGTTTACTTGGTATCTCACCTGTCAATCTCTTCTAATTTCTCATCGATCATCGGAGCCATTTGTTGGCAGACATCTGCAAGAGAAAAAAAGAGCATAATATTTGAGTTTACTTTCTGAAGATGACACCGATATTTTACTCATTAATAAATGATAGTATTTGTCTAGTTCTTCTGAGCAGTAGAATACCGCAGCCACAGAAATATACAACCATCTGCATTAATGAGTCACTCTAGCCTAAGTGAAAACCTATAGCGGGTAATATGCCGATTCGATCTCTAAACCTCTAACTCTTGACTTTGCCGCACATTCTGCATGCCACACAGATCCATTCAGTGCACTGTGCTGTATTTTCTATACATGTCCCTCCCCTCCGTACACTGTGCTGTACAACATGTTGCCCCCATCTGTACACTGTGCCTTTACATTCTATACAACATGTCCCTCCTCTCTATACACTGTGCTGTACATGCTATACAACATGTTGCCCCCATCTGTACACTGTGCTGTACAACATGTTGCCCCATCTGTACACTGTGCCTTTACATTCCATACATGTCCCTCCCCTCTGTACACTGTGCTATATATTCTATTCAGCATGACGCCCCCTCTGTACACTGTGCTGTACATGCTATACAACATGTTGCCCCCTCTGTACAGGCTATACAACATGTTGCCCCCATCTGTACACTGTACTGTACATTCTATACAACATGTCGCTCCCCTCTGTACATTATATACTCTGCACCACTATGATCTGTGCAGTCTATAGCCTACACTGCGCTATTCTGTACTCCACATTTCTTTACTCTGTACACACTGCTGTACAATCTATTCCACACTGTTCTAAAGACTCTACATTGCTCAACTATATACATGGACTGCATTCTTCAACACAGTCCATCCTGTGCCCCAAATAAGACGCCTATGCAAATCTAGAACTCATTTTATATGGTAATATTATTTTTGGAAATATTGCCTTAAAACGGCACAAATTATGAAGCTGATGTTAGGTGTCCTTATTGATTCTATATTTATTCCTACCCAGAATCTAACAGGCAGCACATGACCATGTGGTGTGGCCTGCAGCCGAGTACGAAAAGTTTAGGCAGAGCTGGTAATTGTTATAATGAAACCAGTAGGTTATCTCAAACCTGACTCAGAAGTCCCATATGCTTTGACAAAATGCGCTCTCCTACATTGAACAGCTCTAGGCAGGGTTATCTGTGGTTCAGCTATGCCTGTGCTTTCCAAAATATGACTCAATAAAAAGCTCAGCATTAACTATATGTGCCCCACTTTGGATCTTATCAATTCGTCACCAGCTTTACAGGAAGGTGCACATGGAATGGGCTTTAAACAGTAAAACAGCAAAAAGTATTCCCAGCACACTCACAAGCCAGCGTGTAAAAAAAACTTGTCTCACCACTAAGGTTAAAAACAGAGGTTTTAGATACACGTCTTCTGCAGAAAATGTGAAAGCCGCACAGCCGCGCCAAGGCACCCCTGCATAGTGGGGTCCTAACTCTTAAACTATGAGAGTTTCCATCTTGGAGCACATGGGGCAAAAGATAAAATTGGGTGAAGGTTTGTCAGGAGGGAAGCCCAACCTCCCTTAAAAGGTACAGGGACACCTTTAAGGGAGGTTGGGCTTCCTCCTGACAAACCTACACCTAATAGTTCAGAGTTAGGACCGCACTATGCAGGGCTGCCTTGGCGCGGCTGTGCGGCTTTCACATTTTCTGCAGCAGACGTGTTTCCAAACCTCTGTTTTTAACCTTAGAGGTGAGACAAGTTTTTTTACATGCTGGCTTGTGAGTGTGCTGGGAATACTTTTTTGCTGTTCCACTCTGGATCTTCTCACACATATTTCACTTAAAGAAAGACCCATCATTTAAAAAAGCCCCCGTCGTTAAAAAATATTTTTGAAGGCTGTTCAGGTAAGGAAGGTATTTTACCAGGTGGCCTGTACTCAGCACCGTAACTTCACCAAAGTTAAGTTTTCCTATAAATTAATCTCATAATTTCCCATGCATATTTTAAAGTTATTAAAAAAAGGAAGTCTGCAGTTCCCCCTTTAAGAAACAATGATTAAAAAAAAATAAAAAAAATATGACACCAGAAGCAAAATCTTGCACGGCCACACATATTACAGCTAACCTGCAGACTAGTGAGGGACACTTTTTTTCTTTGTGTTATATATGAAATACCATTTATCCAGATATTACGTTACCTTCCAAATCAAGAAGAGTGACAGAATCTGGCTTGGGGTCAGTTGGATCGATGTTCTGCAGTAAGTGTAATGTTTGGTCCATTTTATTCTAGAGAAGATATGAGAGGTAAATGATACAGTAAAAGACTTTGTGGGAAAAGGTTCAAGGTCACCTTAATGTAAATATAGAAAGGAGGAGCAGGCGAGAGAGGTGTGTGAAATGCATATACACTACCTGTTTGCCGAAAGTTTCTGGACACCTGACCATCACACCTATAACAGCTTATTGGACATTGCATTTCAAATCCATGGCCATTAGCTCTCCTCTTGCGGCTACATCCTCAACTCTTCTGAGAGGACGTTCCACAAGATTTTGGAGTGTGTCTGTGGGAATTTGTGCCCATTCCGCCAAAAAGAGCATCTGTGAGGTCAGGTACTGATGTTGGATAAGAAAACCTGGATTGCAATCATCAAACCGTGTCTTTATAGAGCTGGCTTTGTACACATGAGCACACACATGCTGGGAAAGTTAAAGGGCCTTCCCCAAACTGCTGCCAAAAAGTTGCAAACGCACAATGGTCTATAATTTGGGATGTTCAGATACCAGTGCTGATACTTGGCATTTCACGACAACTACCAGGGTTGCAGCTGGGACCTAGATCTGGGTCTCCACCACTGTCCTGAAATCATTAGTCTGTATTATTTTAGAAAAATGTCCTTGTTTTCTTCCTCCACTAGAAACCCAGTAATTTGTAGTGTTGTCCACATACCTTTGGCCATAGAGGTGTGATGGTCAGGTGTCCACAAACATTTGGCTATGTAATGTATATTCTAGAACTGCTGAGTTCACAAAAATACCATAGTTTTCCCTTTAACAAGCCCATTAATCTTGGAAAAGAGCAGCCATAGAGACATGCTGGATAAAACTTAAAAGGAGAATTATGAGGCGAATGATTTTCACTCAGCCTCATAATCTGAGCCAACCTGTGACAATTAAACTATCACAGATCAGCTCAGTAGATCGGGAAGTGAGCGAACACATACCGACGCTCGCTCACTTCTCGATCTATCCGCGCAGAGAGCAGTGACTGTGCTGACTGGCGGAACGGATGGGGGCGGGTACAGCTGGCTCTGCCTCTAGATAGGCAGAGCCGGCTGTCACTCACGCAGCTGTGTGGATCCAGACAGAATTGTCGGGATCCGTTCCGGCTGTGGCGTCTCAGTATACTGAGCTTTGGGTGATGGGAGGACGCTAGTTTGTGGCCTCCCGTTACCCTTAGGAGAACTATGAGGAAAAGCCCTGACCCCATAGTTCTCCTTTAACACTCTAAATACCAAACGGCATCATTCCAGGAGAGAAAGCAGGAAAGCCAATAGTTAGGAATATTTATATTAAAGTCAGAATTCCAGGCAGACAATACTAAAACAATGTATGCAACAAAATATGCATTTATTAAAAAGTGAGCAGAGTGATGACTCTATACTATGCTGCAGCTCCAACACTATCCAATTAGTAGGCTGGGGTGTGTTATAGACTCAGTTCTGCTGGAGCAGCAATGAATGCCAAGAACCTAGATGTGCTTTCTAGTCAGAGGTTCTGGATCACTGCTCTGGAGCATTAAAACAGTTCCACTGTGTCCATGTTTGCCTGACATTCAGCTGTAAATTTGAAAATTTGTTAACTTACTTCATCTATGTACACTGGTTCAGGTTCTGACTTTGTCTCAGTTTCTGGAGGTTCATCAAAAGCAGCAGGATTCTCAGCAACTGCTAAAAAAATAAAGGAATAAACTTTGCATATTCATATAATGTCATCCTCCAACACGATTCTGACGAATCTCCCCAATGGAGAAACGTTTATACCTCTCGCATACAAAACCATATAGATGGGAAAAAAAAGGTATAGGACAGACAGCTAAGAACACTGAGGGGAATTTATCAAATCTGCAGCAGACCAAATCTGGGGCAGCTGTGCATGGCAACCAATCAGCTTCTCTCTTCAGTTTAGATTTGAAAATGAAAGTGAGAAGCTGATTGGTTGCCGTGCACAGCTGCTCCAGATTTTGTCTGCTCCAGTTTTAATAAATTCCCTTCAATGTGTCTGTAGCCACCTCCATCACCAATCCGAAGAAAACTAAAACAGGGAATGTGTTACTCATTTTAGGATAGTGGGTTGAGGAATCTGAATCATGTATTTTTGCCTCGGTGGCAGACTGTGGATCCTTAACAGTTGGTATATAGCACAGATGCAGCCTATATTTACATTTTGTACAGCATGCACTCAGCTATAATTTGACCCTCATCAGCACAAGGTATGGAACACAAGACTCAATGATAGAGGGGAGAGCGATACCCACCCACGGGAGCTAGTCAGCCTAGGTTGCCCAATTACTATCATCCTCAGTCATAGATACAGATATTTAAATGTTGCACGTTATATAATGTATACGACAGATTGCTTACAGATCTTTTACAAAGGAACCTTTCAGCAAGACAGGGGATGTCTGATTTAAAGTAACAAAGCTGAAAACGAGTATCAGCTAATAGAACAGAAGCAAAGATGGAGCACCATTTGCTTTCTTCTTTCAGCTGCATCCAGGAGGAAGAGAAGAGACATGCAAAGCGTTTGTTATCTGAAATGAATGCAGCCGTGGTTTCTTTAGCTAAGACTTCACATGTGTAGCAGTGCTCTATATCTCCTCTTCAGAGGACAGCTCATTAACAAGACATCAATTAACCATTACTGTTCAGGAAGCAGAGAGAAGAGGAAGCACTGCAGTCATCTGCCGGGCATCACAAAACTGCTGCATGACGGATCAGTTCTTAAAACTCCCCAAAAGAATATTGGGCCGCAGCGTGGCTCAGTGGTTAATACATCTGCCTTGCAGCACTGGGCTCCTCAGTTCAAATTTCAACCACCTCACTATGTGCTTGTATGTATTTTCTCCCACACACCAAAAAAGACATGCTGGTACGGTTTTTGGCTCCAGGCTAAACTGGACCATGTTGGTATCTGCATGCGAGATAGGGACCCTAGATGGCAGACTCCTTGAGGGACTGATGTGAACGTGCAGTGTGTAAATTGACAGCACTATATAAATAAATAGCACTAGTGTCCGTTCTGCTGATGTAGTAAAAGCCAGTGCAGGCTAAGAAAACATTAAAAAAAAAAAAAAAAATCATGTTGACAGAAACTCCAGCTTCTCATTCATCCAGGTCATGGTATAGCTGTAAAAATAAGTCAAGGCAACTGGACTTGCTGTATTTTTCTTGAAGACGTTTCACTGGTCATCCAACCAGCTTTCTCAAAAAATCTTGAGAAAGCTGGTTGGATGACCAGTGAAACCTCTTCAAGAAAAATACAGCTAGTCCAGTTGCCTTGACTTATTTTTTTACAGCTGTGTTTTAGAATTGTGTTCTATTCCTCCTTTGCTTGCAGGCATGGTTGGTTACAGTATCTTCTTTAGTACTGTCGCCACCACTGACACTTAAACAATCAAAGAGGCTTTGTGTGACAGGCAGTCTGGAGGATTTCGGAAAAAAAGAACAGCTTGGTTTCATCAACCGTGCACACACCATTGCTGTTAGTCCACTCTCCTGTGCTTCCATGTCCTGCACACTTCACACAGACCCTGATTGACTTTGCTTCACAGAACCTGAAGCTCTTTAGGTAGGAGAGGAAGGACCAGCAACAATGGTGGGAGGATAGGCTGTGATGATAACCATGCCTACATAATAACTGTGCCCCGTGTATCGCCCCTTCTTTCACCAATGTCTGGAGCCAGTCACAGTTTGAGCTATCTGACTCTTCAAAGGGAAACTTTGTTTATACATTTTTAAGTTGATAATAAACATTTACAGGGTTATTCACAAAAGGGTGAAGAGTTTGGAGAAGGCAGGAGTAGTGAACAATCTAGGACGACATAGCTAATTTGGAAAGTGAGCTGAATTGGAGAATTTTTTCAAATCGGCTATGTTGTCCTAGATTGGTCACTTCTCCTCCTGCCTTCTCCAAACTCTTCACCCTTTTGTGAATGACCCTGTTAAAAACAGGTTACGGCCATAGCATCGGTGTTGAAAAACAGTATATATTATGTATAAAGAAAGAGCTGTTTTCCTTCAGATTCTCTCACTCTAATTAAGTTTTCACTCCTCTGAATCGATCAGTTGTGAGCTAGGACTACTGAGGTCTGTTAACAGGCTTTTATTTTTTTTAGAACACCAGCCTTGCAAACATTAGAAAGGGAGTCTAGATCGCCACCTCCTGGATGTAAATCCATTGTTAAAATGTACATTTTACAGGAATCAGAAGGCACAGGTCAACAATCGCATAAGTGTGAGTATGAAAAAAATAAAATAACCTCTCTCTTTCTTGCAATAAATATAACACTGTTGCTTCTGAGCTTCCTTCGTGTGATTTACAACCTGGGCAAAGAGCACTTTATATCTGGATAGCAGGAATACTGGAGATCATTTTGACAAGAGACAGCAGATAGTCTATTGTTCTCAGTCAGACTTGAATATATTCGGAACAGCAAGGCACAATCATTGTGTAGAACTACTTGCATATATGTTTATGCATTTCAGGTTTTCAGGGGGAGTCTGCCATGGCCCCCTAACAATACAACATTTTACTACAAGCTTCCATTTTTGGCCAGTTTTCGTGTCAAAACTGTCAGCCATAATCAACTCTTCTATGCTTCGGTGGCGATCGGGTACATTAGAACCCTCACCCACTGCTTTATCTTCAGCTGCTACAAAACACCACTAGAACTGTCCACATGCTCCTCCCACTCAGTTGTCCATAACCTAAATAGGAATGCTCATTCAACCAGAGAAATCCTGTTCAGATCAGAAGCTGGACCAAAAGATATTGGGGGGAATTTATCAATAGTAAAGCAGAGAGAATCTGGAGAAGTTGCCATTAGTAACCAATGAGCTTCTATCGTTAGTTTGTTCAGTTAAGCTTTGAAAAAGAAATATAGAAGCTGATTGGTTGTTATGAGCAACTGCTCCAGATTCTGTGTGCTCAAGTTTTGATTAATTCCCCTCATTGTGAAACAGTACAATTGCACATAATATTCTCTGATTGGGTATGGCCAGCTCAAGATAGGAATTCTCTTCTATGTGCATTTTGGTGGTGGGGGGTCCCACAATCGCAGTGTAATAGAATCATCACTGACTGGAGCTATGCGCTGCCCTGCCCTCCGGCATTCCACCCTGCAATGGGAGTAGGGATGTTCAGATGCCAAGTACCGTACTCGGTACAAGTACAGACACAGATACTTTTCCAGCTCCAAGACTAGACTAGAGAAAAATACAGAAGTTAGGAGGCGGCTGTCATTTTTAAAAGGGGCACACGGAGCTCCTGGGATTTGTACATCTCTGTTTTAATGTATGATTTTTTTTTACAAAATATATATTCGGGATGCACCGATATCATTTTTTCAAGTACAAGTACTGATACTTCAGACAAAAAGTTTTCTTCAACTCTTGGCGCTAATGGCTGCTAGCTGAACGTTCCACTTGCTGTTGCATACTCAAAGTTTTAAACAGTTTATCACAGTCTTTCACACAGACTTGAGGGGCTGCTCATCCAAGGCTCTGGGGCTTCCACCACGAACATAGAAAACAAAAGGGAACACAGCGCCACCTCCGTGTGTAAAATTGTTTATTAGGATAAAGAAAACAAGGGATAAATGTACTCACAAACAAATGTTTTCATCAGGCTTTAACAACAAACAAGAGGCCACACTGCCTGTTGGTACTCAAAATGGTATCGCCCCGACTATGTAACATGGTAGCCTTCCGGTCACATCACCGGCCGCAGTCAGCCAAGATTGACGCGTTTCAAGGGCATGCCCCCTTCATCAGAATCATCATTGATCATTGGGTTAACAGACAGTGTGGCCTCTTATTAAAGCCTGATGAAAACATTTGTTTGTGAGTACATTTATTTATCCTAATAAACGATTTTACACACAGAGGTGGTGCTCTGTTCCCTTTTGTTTTCTAAGTACTGATACTTGCCCAAGTACTCACAGATACAAGTACTGATACATTTTTGTTTATTGTCATGTGACAGTTTTTCTAAAACAATACAGACTAATGATTTCAGGACAGTGGTGGAGCGCCACACCCAGGTCCCAGCTGCAACCCTGGTAGTTCTAATGAAAATGCCAAGTATCGGCACTGGTATCCGAACATCCGTAAATGGGAGTGCTGTAAAGGAAGGCAGCTGCTTCCTTAAAACTAGGGTTGCACAGATACCAAGTACAGTACTCGGTACAAGTACATGTACCGATACTTTTGAGCTCCAAGACTACTCTAGAGAAAAATTAAAAAATTAGGAGGCAGCTGTCATTTGTAAGGAGCACACGGAGCTCCCGGGATTTGTACATCTCTGTTTTAATGTATGATTTTGTTTTTATAAATATAAATAAAGTGATCCACAGATACCAGTTTTGCGAGCACGAGTACTGGTACTTGCCGAGTACTTACAAGTACGAGTACTGATACATGTTTGTTTATTGTCATGTGACAGTTTTTCTAAAACAATAAAGACTAATGATTTCAGGACAGTGTGGAGGGCCAGAGCCCGGTCCCGGCTGCAACCCTGGTAGTTCTCATGAAAATCCCAAGTATCTGCACTGGTACTCAAAAAGTATCTGTGCATCCCTACTTAAAACATGCTGCTCCTTATGAGTTAGATATATTGATGCAATGAGGAAAAGAGAGGCGAGGGGTACCGACACAGCACGGTGCCAACTGACATCCAAAGATCTTAAAGCATGAATCTGTGTGTTTGGATTAGAAGATCAGATCATTTAAATACTATAAATCCTCCCAGCTTGTGCTAATAGATTATGTCTAGAGTTCTAAATAGCTATAAAAACAAATATGCATAAATGGGTGTCCTATATGAATTCTGTTAGGCAACCCTTACTGCTCCAAAGACAAATGGACGTGCATGGTCCAGCATGCCAATCCAGCCAGACATACATGAAGGGATTTTCAGTGCCACAATTGTTAAAGGGTCCTGTATTTCCCAGCGTGCTTCAATCTTTCTGAAGTGAAGATACTTTTGAATCATCATACATCGAGCAATGGAAGAATAAATAAAAAATGCAAACTGTGCAATCTGTTACTTTACATACCTGGTTCAGGCTCAGCATTTAAAGTAGAGGAGACAAAATTAGACGGGAACAAGCCTACACCTTTGTGGTTCTCCCCCTTCCACCAGTTTGTGTCACTGCAAAGAAATGTAAAATAATGGTAATATGTGGGATAATGTCCGCCCTGCTGTAAATTCAGAGAATAAAATCAGGATTCACAAAGGAATTCAGTTACCATATAAATGTACAAAGCTGCAGGCTGTACGCATATAAAAAGGTCAGAGAACTCCTAAGATGAATTCTTTAATATTTTAGGGGTTTTAATGGCCTAATATTGTACCAAAATCAAGTTGCTTATACATCTTACAATCAGATTGTACCACAGCAACTGGCATGACTTACTCTGGCAAGTGTACAACCATGTACAGATTGACCGCCTCACACAGCACTGGATACAGTTGTGATGTGGAGGTTGGCGGAAGGGACCAGTGAGAGCTGCAGAGAACCCAGGAGATCAACACTCCCAGGGGTGTTAGTTTATCTGCAGACTTCGGGGGGGGGGGATTTCACAGCAAAAGAGCGGAGTTCAGTGGCACTGACGGCAAGATAGATCAGCACTCTGCTTCTTCAGGTATGGGCTTGTGTTATAACAGGGGAAAGCAAACTGTGGCCCCATAGCTGTGGTGAAACTACACATCCCATCATGTATCTGCCTCTGGAGTCATGTCAGTGGCCGTCAGTCTCTTGCAATACCTCACGGAACTTGTAGTTGCACCAAAGCTGGAGGGCCGGAGTTTGCCTACCTCTACTTTATACTTTCTCCTTGAGTGACAGTGTTGCTTTAGACATAATAAGGTTCTCAAAACATTTACCACAGCCGAGAAATACTGCCCACAATACTCACCTATCATCTAACACAAAAATGATTTCTCCGCTTTTAAAGGTCAGTTCATTGTCTTCCACAGCTTCAAAATCATAAAGAGCCCGCACTTTTCTGGGCATGCGCTGGCTGTCATGTGGCACCTCCACAGATGGGTATAAAGATTTGGTTTCTGTTGGCTTGTGCTCTTGTAAAGATAACTCGATCGCTGCAATTAGAAGCAAAATATACTAACTTAGAAACTAAATTAGAAATATGAAATTATCCATTTATAATGAACTAGAACACAATGAAAACGCATGAACCTAAATTCACTAAGATGGTGCGTAGTTTTATTCCAGTCCTCATTTATCTCAGAACCATTCTTTCTTTTACTTCAAATTCACAGACAAATATCACTTAGGTGTGTCATCTTTATATTTTCTGCTTGAACTGGACATTAACTTATATGCAAAGCTTAATCATCACACAGATCACAGCTCTAGCCCTTTTTATCTTTAGTTCTCTTTAGGGTCACGGGAGGACATATACCAACGTCCTCCCGTGACCCAAAGCTCAGTATATTGCTCACTATATACTGAGAGCGCTGCAGCCGGGACAGATCCCGACAATGCTGTCGAGATCCACCCAGCTGGCTGAGTGACAGCGGGCTCTGCCTATCTAAACAGTGATCTCCTCCAGTCAGTGATGGTGGAGGATCGGAGAGGGGGCAATCCCTTCGGGGAGCCGTGACTGACAGTCACCACTCTCTGCAGGGAGATGATCGGGAAGTGAGCGAGCGACGGTATGTGTCCGCTCACTTCCCGATCAATAGAGCCAACGTGTGACAGTTTCAATGTTTCTAACTATGAGGATAAGTGTAAATCACTCACCTCATAGTTCTCCTTTAACCCTCATTATCCAGACTGTGGCAACACTCTGGCACACGAAAGGGATCCTCCAAGATCTCATAAACTTTATTTCGCAATGGCAAAACAAAACACAGCCAGGAATAATACTGCTAAAACTAGCCGGTTTTATTTCTCATTTTGTATCGTGCCATTGTGAAATAAAGTCTATGAGATTTCATAGCATCCCTTTCTTGCGCTGTTTTGCTACAGTCTGTATTTTAAAAGCGTATCTAAACACAAAAACAAAAAATTTATATATTGCAGCTTACACAGCTGGAATTTCGAGTGGCTCCTGACCATTTGTTTGAAATTCTTGCAGTGGGTGGCCCTCCTGGCATCACTTAGCTCAACAGAGGAACCGGATGAAACATTGTTGGTTGTAAAGTGTCTTCATGCAATCATACACTAGTCAGCAGGTGGAGATTCCTTCATCTATACTGTTTTGTGGATGGAGTCATCTATTAGGTTGGATTATAAAAATCTATAGGTGTATGGCTAGCTTAAGTAATAAAGCCTCCTTTTAAAAAAAAATATTTCCTACAAGGAGACCCACCTTTGCTTGAGACTGTTGCCGTTTTTCTTTAAAAGTATTTAATTCCTCATTTTCTAATGGGTCCCCACAGCAATCATCCCCCCGTTCCATGTACGGGTGCCTCCATCGGCTAATGGAGGCACCTGTGCACGCTTGTGCAGGCAGTAGCTGTGTGCGTCCATAGACACACACACACACAGCCCTGTGGCAGGCCACGCCCCTTATCTCTGATTGATGGCAGAAGGAGCCTATGGCTTCTCTGCCATCAGTATCCGCCCCCGCAGCCAGGAAGTTCGGGGAACGGAGGATCGCTTCGGGACCGGCGGCAGGGACGAGCGTAGCTGACAGGTAAGTGTGGGGGGGACTGGGTGAGAAAAAAGGTGCTGGGCCGCTTTTAACCCTAATGCAAAGAATGCATTAAGGTAAAAAACGCCCAGACCCTAATACTACTTTAAGTGACGCAGGAGATACTGGAACCAAAAAAAATGAGGCAACCCCAGCATTTCAAACGCCAGGCTATCCTTCTCCTTTACAAAGCATAGTGTCAACAGCAGGCTGCAAGTAGTAAAAGATAATAGTGCATATGAATAATTCTTATGTAACATTTCACATTTAGGTGCTTAACCCCTTCATGACTGAGCTAGTTTTCAGTTTTCATAAATGACTGACACGCTTTTAAAATTTTTGTTGTGTGATTCTTCCACAGCAGTAATATACTTTCTTACTAAATGTACCCACACATATTATATATTGTTTTTTAGAGGACAGATAGGTACATGTTTGATATAAATATGTAGCCCTAACGCCTCACTTAGTTTGAATCAAATATAAAAAAATGAGGAAAAAAACGATATATATATATATATATATATATATATA